CAGCAACAATTCTGGCAAAGCTCGTTTCGACGACAGGCACAATCTCACCTTCTTGGCTTGACCAGCTTGCCTGCTTGCCTAATGACTCATGACCCTTTCTTAAGGATCAATGATTTCGGCACCGCAAAACAGCTAGGGCTGGTTTGCTCAACTGCGAAGCCATGCATCTCAATATTGCGGCTTTGAGTGCCGCTAGTCACAACGCCAGCTCCACAAGCGCCCCTCGAAGGCTTGGGCTTGACATTGATTCTGCGAAAGCTAGGGAATTCGCAATGGCTGGCGGCAACCCGTGCCTGCGCCTTCGCCAGCAGCTGCAGACACCACTGCCACTGCGCCCCCTGTGCAGCGGCCGCCAAGACCGTGCCCAAAGACACGACGCCTCAATCAGAAAAACATATGCCGACAAGAGATAAGCCCTGCCGGGCTCGTGGAAAACTCGGCCCGCAACCTGCCCGTACTCTTTATGAAAGGAGCACAACGATGCGCAGAACCCTCTCAACCTTTTCGCCACCAATATGTTGCCAGAATTCAGGGCCCCTTGGCACAGGTCCGGATGGTATTCCGAGCCGCTCTTCTGCAGCTCTGACTGCTCCATGGCCGCCAGCAGCTGCAGACATAAAGGCCACAGCTCCCGCACCGACTCCTCAGGGAAACGACAGTCCAAAGGGACGGCCGGAGCTGTGCATGGCGGGTACAGTGGTTTCAACCCGGGAAGGGGCTTGATTGAAAGCCTACAGGTGTGACCTTGCTCGCTCAGGGATCTGCAGCCGAATTTGCGGTTGCTGCACAATCCACTGCTCAATCGATCAGAGAATTGTGAGAAGCTGACTGGTCAAAAACACAATGCTAAAATTAAATGGCGGTCCCTAGTAGACCCCAAAGTTAACCACTGAGTTGCCAATGGTCGAGCCATTTTCTCCAAGTCGCCCTTGGCTCTGAAATTCGCGAATGAGCTTCTTTCACTCCCGTGTCGCGAAATCATGCAGGAGGGTCTGGCCATGCAAATCCCACATCACGTTCTCTTGAACTTCAGGAGCAACAGCTCCTGTTGAGTCTATGACGAATTCCGGGGCAAGTTCTCTGGCCGTCGGTTTCCGAGCAACTGAGCAGCTTCCCCTAACATTGCCTGCTTCAAATTTCACACGGCGATACAGGTGCAGGTGCGTTGCCCGCAGCAGGCACTTGGCTCATGGCCCTCAGTGACCGCAGCCTCCGTAGCGCCGATCGTCCGCGCGGCCGAGGTCTCGGCCAACGCCGGCGCCTCCCTGACTCCGGGCACTCCATGCTGTCCCTGCGGTCCCTGCGGTCCATGCGGTCCACGGACATCGGCCGACGCGACGAGGGCCAGGGTGGGCCAAGGGCCCGACTCCACGGCCCAAGACACAGCGTACCTCTCGTTCACCGCGCCGAGAGCCGCCTCCAGGCCGGAGCGGTTGCGAAGGGGCAAGCCGTGAAGCACTCGCCGCATCCCACTGGAGGAGAGGAACAGGAAGGAGACGGCAAGGAGAACCCAGGTGAACATCAGAACCCAATGGGAGTCAGAGCTCCGAAAGAAAAAGAAGCTACAGCCCAAGAGCAGCAAAAACAGCAAACTCGTCATCACCTGCTTTGCCATCAGCTGCTTCGTTCTAGCTGTGGATGTCTGCAAGGATGAGTCCAGAGTAGCCTTGATTGCCTAAGCTTGCAGCCGCGATGGCTATCAAAAGGCAGCTTCCCAACACTTCCACCGTCCCCAAAGAACTGAAAACAAAACTAAACTGTGTATCAATCAGAAAAAACATATGTTCCACAAGTCCTCTCCTTAGTGGCACGTGGTTCCAGCCCATAGTTCCATCAGCTTTCTAACCCTGGGCTCTATGATCAACTCTTAAGTCATGGCTTCTTTGCCCTGTGTTCCAACCAAAGGAGAAGCGCGTAGTTGTGTCATTCTGGTTTTGTTTGGTTTTTTTCAGAAGGTCCCTAATTCAGGATTCATCTAAATGTTCCAACCAGCCTGGTACTCCTCTTCTCGCAAGTGCGGCTGCAGGGCCGCAGGCATGTCGGCCGGCAGTTGTGGCTGCCATGGCAGGTTCTCGATCGGCACGGAGGCCAGCATTGTGCACAAACAACCCTCACTCACAAGAAAGACTGCGATTCAAATGTGTTGTATTAATCGTTATGCTACGATTTGTTGTTTCTTGGCTTCTGGAGCAGTTGCATCCTGTGAAGTCGCAAAATAAGGTTAAGCAATATCTTCACGCATCACGCCTGAGCCGAAGCGCCTCCATACGCTCGAAATGTCAATCCTGAAACCTGGCAGACCTACTTCCATGCCTACGAGACAACACCTGTGCCAACTGTTGAATGACCAGTTTGGAACCTGTGTAACGTTGTGGCCTGTCTTACATATGTTTGCAAGTTCAATCTAGCTTGCTTGCTTGAAGGGCTGGCGACATTGAGCCCCTTCTTCATTTCAGTACAACGCTTGAGCCAACGGGCCCACCTGCAAGCTACTCAGTGGGCCTGTGCCTCTATGCTTCGATTGACATCTTCTCAATCCGTTCCGACCTTGAATGACCAGTATATAGAGGCTGGTATGGTATGCGTTGGCCCCGCGGGCTTCTGATTGGCTGGCGTGGGTGCAGTGCTGAGCAGCTGCGCTCGAGCATCTGGCTGTAGTGCTGATCGGGTGTGCTTGAGCGGGTGCGCTTGAGCGGGTGCGCTTGAGTGCGCTTCAGCAGGTGTGCATGTCATTCGGCTGGCGTGGGTGCGGTCCATGTGAAACGGGTGTGCTTTTCATAAACTGAAGAGGGAACTACTTCAAGAAAAAAACTATAAGTCCACATAATTATCTGGTAGAAAGCACAAGAAACCTGTTTTGGCAGCGCAGCAACGGTTGCTCTGAGCAAGTTTCGGCTCAACGAGAGCACAAATTGGCCGCCCCCCCCCCTCCCCCAGCCCCGACGAAGCAACACCTCCGGCTGCAACTGGCAAGACTTTTCGCCTGAGACGGAGTCCTTTCATTTCGGGCAAGCCTCGCGTTACACGTGGAAGAATCTGGTAGCAACTTTGCTTCCCCCCGTCCAGCGCTGTGTTGTAGGTGGCAGTCTCGGGCTGTAAGCGGCAAGCCTGGCACTGCTCGCGGGTGGCTCAGCAAGTGGCGATCAGAATTACGACTGCTCGAACTAACAAAAAGTATTACCACCTCATCCTTGAGTGATACGTATCTGGGGGACTTGAGGGCAAAGGATCCCATAGTGCGGCTGTTTGCATCTAGTCATTCAGCAATGAACATTTACAGCTCAACATGCAGGCTTTGCCGCACAGTCCTCGAGAAGCTGCAAGGCCTTCCATCAAAGAATGACGCGCACACATGGCACAACATGCGGACTTCTTGCACTGCGAACAGTCCGGCTTGTCTTTTCCACCTTGACATGGTACAATGGGCAACTGAGGCAAGCATATGATTATAAAAAAGTACACAAAAAAGAAATGCTGAAGCAGTCCCAAGCTTGATTGCTGCAGACGCCATCCGACTGTTTGCCCAGCCTCCTTCCACCGCCGGGCTTTCGCGCACACGTTGAGGGTTGCCTCAGCCGAACCCGTCATGCCCAGTGCTTCACAATGCCACTGTGCAACAGTCGGCCTGGTGTAGGCCCTCAACACGTGCACTGACACTAGCCTCCCACATTGCAGGCAAGCAGAAGATGGTTCAAGGTGTCTTTGTCAAAAGCTGCAATACAGAGAGCCACCAATGAGATATCCGGGCCCAAAACTCTCTGATCCCTGTACTGTACTCAATGCTTTGCAAGCGACCAATCGATTGCTGCCGAGGTCACGTTGTAGGTGATGATGTTGGGCTTTGGGCCCTGGTTCTGCATTCGCTCCAGCAGCTGCAGCGCGCGCCGCCACTCAGCGCTAAGGCCGAGGTCTCCTCGCAAAGGCTTCATTGGAAATCGGGTGCCAAAAAGATCTGAACAAAAGACGTAAAACTATCCATCCATCTCGTGTGGCTTACTTGGCAGGAAAGCGCGATTTAGCATCCGGTAACCCGCAGACTCATAGATCTGCCCAAAATGAAGCGGCCAACTCTGTCAAAATCGCAAATTGGAAAAACTTAGATGTGTGACCCCACGGCTACCGAGGTGCGCAGGGCCGCGGTGCAACGACGCATGGCGCCATTGGCCGAGCCACAGCAAGCGCAAGCCCGCGCCTGGCAGGCGCAGCTCTGCACTCTGAAATGATTCAGTCGAAGTGCTGGTTGAATTTGGAGCTCAAACAGGGGAACAACAATGCACATCGGACTCAAGCACTCTGACAGCTGCCGGCCCATGCTGATCTTCCGCAATGTCAAGGCTGCAGGAACATGACCCTGCCTGTCAAGACGTCCCCAGATCAACCAACGCCCGAATGCAACGCTGTCAACAGCGAACTGATGAATAGCAATGCTTCTGTTGAGGTGGCACTTTCCTGGACTGATCTGGCGGTTGCGGCCGCTGCCATGAATTTGAGCCATGAGAAGCTTCCGGTCAAGCATCTTCCAGCATGTGGGAAAGTCAAGAAGACAAAGGGACACAGCGTCGTGCTTTGGCAACAAGAATGCCAAATGCTGAGAAGTACCGTGCGAGGTCAATTGATTCCATGTTATTTCATGCCAACCGCGGCGCTGGAGGACAGGGAGAACTCCGAACCCATAGCGGCCGGAGTCACTGTCGTGAGCATACATAAACCCCGATCATGGTGCATATCAAGGGAGTTACAATCGGTATGACAAGACAAAACTGAAGGTCTCATGAACCAATCAGGTTAACAAGGGCTTGAGCCAAATGGCAGCTTAGCGCCTCAGTGCTCAACAAGTGTCTGCAAACATCTTGGCTAGGAGCACGGCCTTTATGGTTGAATATGTTTTGCTGTTGCCCTCCTCTTGCTCTTGAGAAGCTCAGACGTTTTTGCACACCTCTCATCTCACTAAAATGCAAAAGCAACATTCAAGCGTTCACCAAGCGACACATCAAATGCTCCTGACGTACAACCATGCTGGTGTTGTCCGTGACCTGGGGGCACGGAAGCACAGCGGAGTCGGTTGTTGCTCTTTCAACTCGTGGCTCTTTCCCATAGTGTCAATCTCTTTCTGCGCCAAGCGTCTTGTGTCCTCGCCATGATCTCCCCGTTCACAATGGTCAGCACCTGCATACCAGTACTCTTGTCCAAGCCAAGTCTGTGGCATGCGGCAGCCTAAGCAGAAAGAATTCCCAAGCATACATGCCAAACTGTGACCAACTGGCATTGGCCCCCTCCTGAATAACCTGGGTTGTGCCATCTACTTTTCATGTATTATGGATTGGCGCGCAAGCCTCTTCACCTCGTATGGCGGGCCTTGCCAGGCGCGTGCCTCAAAGACACAGTTGGAAACACTCGCAGGCAAGGCCAACGCCGAAGCCGGTATCCAGCCACCAGGAAGCAAGAATGGGCCAGCTGGGACGATTCTCAAGCATACCCTGTGACATTGCCCTGGGCCGCAAAAGCATACACAGTAGATGCACCAGCCTAATGTAAACCTGAGAAGCTTGCGCAGGTGCCAGCCGAGTGCCAGACCTTTCTTTTCGAGCACGCGACCGTGGTCCCTGGCAGTTGCACACATTGAGCTGGCCCGGGCAGGCCATGGCCTGCTTTGGCGCAGTCAAGGCGCGTGACACTTGATTTTTCCTTGGGCTGGTGGCGCTCTGCGGCAAGGCCGCTCTTTGCGCTGGACAGAAATGGGCGTCAAATTTGGTGGAAATCTGCATTTCCTTCCGTCTTCAAAGCTTGGCAGTGTCCACAGGTGAGTTCACTGCTGCAACGTTTCCTTTACATGCTGGACCTGATTCTGGTTGAAACCATGCAGCTCGAGACCGCATGCTGTGCGACATCGCTGAGATTTCTGCGCAGAAGGCAAAACAGCCTTGACAAAAGCCATGGAAGCACGGCTTTATGCTCAAATTGCACTTAACATCCAAATGTAAGCGTCAATACTGAGTCTCAGAACACGCTATTCAACGAATGAATCGCTGTGTAAGAATTAGTCTATTAAGTCAGGGTGGCTTGCTGGGGATTACAAAAGCGGGTGTTCATCTTCGTGCGAGTGAAAATTGACTTGACGATGATGGTGCTCCCTCTGACTGTAGCATGCAAAATCGAAGCAACGGGTTGCAAACTCACATAGCAAATCAACTTCCTCACGGTGCATGTATGGCAGCTTCAATCATCCTGCCCGCAGCGTCTCAGCGACCGAAGCAAGCTGTCTGCCTGTGCAGCAGCACATGTTGCTTGCGGAAGGTGCTTTCAAACCAGATAGCTCCGCAAAGCAGGGGTCACCTCAAAGGGTGCGGATCTATTTTGGGTGTTTTCTCTGTTGTTTTGGGGGATGTCTGTGTTTTTTGTTTTCTCGTTTTTGTCTTGGCAAGCAAAATGTATTTTACAGCATTTTCTCACGTTGTACACTGGCCGTCAACATCCCCAGCATCGTTTCAACATCCCCCCGCACGTCCCGCCAACATCCCCAGCATCACCAGCAAATCGTGGGTAAAAATATCTAAAAAGTAGGGTGGGGTTGGGGGGGGGCGGCAGCCCCCCGTGATGTTCGAAGAAGCGATGATTCAATTAAGGGTGCAATGATTCAAGAAAGGGTGCGATAGAATATAAAAAAGCGAGGTGGTTGGGGGTTCGAAGAAGTGCATACATACAAACATACAGACATACATACATAGATTACATAGATTACATATAAATACATAGATTGCATGCATACATGCATACAAATCAAAAAAGTATAAAGAACACTTGCCGGAGAGAATCTGATGAGGAGGATGCGGAAAGCCAAAAACCAATGGAAGGGTGCAAAAGCCAAAAGGCCGCCAGAGAGGAACTGGGAAAGCAGAAGATGCAACAAGCCCAAGAAAAGCCGCAAAAGCCAAATTGCCACCTGCCGGAGAGGAACTGGGGATGCAAAGGATGCGAAAAGCCAAAGCCAAAAAGCCACCAAAAGCCGCATAAACCAACAAGAAGCCGAAAAGCCAAGAAGCCAAAAAGCCAAGAAGCCAAAAAGCCAAGAAGCCAAGAATCCAAGAAGCCAAAGCGACAAAAAAAACACAAAACAAACTCCCACATCGAATTACATATTCCTCAAAGGTGACGGCTCATATGGGTCAACCCTCTGCTCTGCTTCTGCGTTCCGCGAGCATGGAAGTTTCTGGAGCGCCCTGTAGACCCACCACAAGAGCAATTGAATTTGTAAGCAGGTGGGTCTCTGCCCAAAAGCTCACCAACTTGCTGTCGCAGCGCGTGACAGGTCAGCGGCAAGCACATTTCAGGCGCAACAGAACAGGAACCTCATGAGCTCTGTCAGCCCGTCACGCTCATCACAGCTGTTCCATAAACGGCCAAAGCAGCCCGTAGCCTCGTCCCTTCCAGCAAACAATTGCGTGGTTGACCTGCCAAATCTGAAGCCAGGGAAAAGGGACAAGGCCACAGGGACTGTCCCCCCGTCGCATGCGACTCGAGCGGGCACGCATGGCCTTCTGTGATGTCCCACACTTCCTAGCTAGCGGCAGGCAGCAAACATGAATTCAGCACAAAAACTGTGCCTTGCTGTGCATGTGGCTGCCTCAATGTACTCGGCTTGCCACCAAATTAACGCGAATGGTCGCACGATGTGCAAGTCAAAAGCTTCGCAAGTTACGAGAGTGCCTCACTGACTCCCGCAATCCCGTCCATTAATTCACTGCTGAAAACGTCGGCAGGTTAGTTCGGCTGGGTGGACTTCTTTGGCTTCCTCGGCTCGCAGACTTCAAACAAGCTTCAAGTCCCGGAAGAACTGCACTCAGTTGTCTCTAGTTTCAGTAAGCGCGTCCCGGGCCAAGACGTCTCAGCGTGGTCTAAAACACCTCCGCCCAGCGTCGCACCCAGTAGCTCCTGCATCTGGTCCGCCAGAGACAGGTTGACGGAGATGTCGGAAAAGAAGTAAAGCCCTCCTGCGGGTTGAGGGGCAAAAAGAAACGTGTGTTCAATACATCTCATTGTTAAAAGTTTTGCAAATAGGTTATCCAAGCCTCAAATCACTCAAATGTTTGACATAGTTAATTAAATGTCTAATTTAGAAACAAGTTTAGTCAACATCATTATCATGATGTTATACATATTCAATATCGATTGTCCGCTGTCCCGCCCTGCACAGCATATTAGCAAAGCACTTGATCATCCATCTGTGCTTCTGGGAAAGGGTGCGTCCTCTGAGTACATGCTTGCACAAAGCCACCACAAGTCTGCAACTGCCATGGTAAAAATGTGTTTTCCCCTAAAGGTCATGGAAAATAGTAGGCCCCCCAGTTTTTTTAATGGGGAAAGTTAGTAAGCCCATGTCCCTCCAAAATGGGCCATGACTGAAACGATTCACCAAACCTCATATTGAGTATGATTGAGTCTCCTTTTGTGACGTCCAGGTCGACATTCTTCAAGCCAAAGGTCGGGTTGTCAGAACCTGAGGAATAACGCGTCCAGCATATGATGACTGAAACTTTCGACATGAACAAGGTCTGGTCTCTACCCTGCAAGGGCGAGGATCCCAAAGCAGCAGCAGAGGAATCATGCAAAGTTCACGAACAAGATCCGCTCAAAGTATAGTGATTCAATGAGTGTTGGGTGTCGTGAGTGCTCGGTGTCTACCCACGCCATGTGAAAGCTAAAGATTGGGTGCTCCAATGCGATCTCATGGAAGCCGTCTATCGTCCAAAAGAAATCTGGCAAAGGCGCCCAATGGCAGCGTCTGGTTCAGGGGCCCAAAGTTCAGACTGTCCTGGCCAGGGCCCCGCAGGACTTGCAGCAGCTGCTTGGCGAAGCGCAGATCTATTGGGCCTGGCGGTCTGCCCAGTAAGCTGAGGATGTGGCAAATCAGACCCCACCAGCCTTTTTTGGGGGAAGGTCCTTTTGAATATCATAGCCAAATGAACATTCATAGGAGGTGAAAGTGAGGTGAGGAACGCGCAATCTGTCCAAGCACTGCGGAGAGTGAAGGGAACGCCCTGTCGAGGACTGGAGAAGCTCCCACTCTTGGAGCATTCATCCTATTCAATCCGTGAAAGATCGAGTCCCTGAAGACGTGCAATGCAACTCCGGTCCTGCAATGCTGCCACCCTCCTTCACATCCGTGGCTCCAAGCAAAGTCAGGTTCGTTCGTAACCTCAAGGTGGGAGAAGCGCCCCACTCTCACCAAGAGACTCCAAAAAGAGGGTATCACTTAGCCAGGGTGTCAAACCAACAAAACACATGTCTTCGTGGTTCGTGGGATCACATTGGCAGACCGCGAATCCGTGAGGCTATGTTCCTTCTGTTGATGCACAAGCCTGCCGGCAAAGAACCAAAAGCAATTCCAAATCGGTTGAAAGCGTGAGAAAGCTCAGGTGCATGACATGCAGTTCCCGCGACCTAGGCTGCGGGCCCCATCGGCTTGTGTTCAATCCACGCATGGCCATGGGCGTGAACATTGGCAAAGAAGGAGAAGCAAAACTCACCTCAGCCAAAGCCACTCTTCGCGAGCAAACAACACACACTCAGAACCTGAGACGGCTGCTCCTCGTCTCTGTCCGAAGAGTTGTGAAAACAAAAGACATCGGTACCTCAGTGCACTTGGATAAGCGCTGCAGTGTGCACCATAACACGCATGTCATGTGGCTTGTAGTAAAGGTGGGAATACAATCAGGCCCAGCCTGACTGAGCGTGAAAACTCAGTTGAAAAAACTCCAGACCTTCTGCGCGTAGCTTGCATCCCAGACACATCGAGGTACACGTAGCCTACCAGGCAATTGAAGGATTTGAACAGCAGCTTCCCCGAACATGCTCTGACTCCCATTTCCATCTAAGCCCCTGCTCTGGGCGTAAGTTTTCGAGCACTATGAGCCGCCTGTCTCCAAACCAACAAGCCCTGCCTGTTTCAAAGGTGATGTTTGGCCTTCCAACCGGCGACATGGTGAGCATCAGTGGATAGGTTCTTGAATAGATCTCAGTTCAGCAAAAGCTAAGCCCCAACCGCACAAGATGCTTTGCTCAATCCATCAAATCAGAAATTGGCGGTGACGGCCAATCTGAACTGTCAACCGGATCACGCCAAGCGACGTCCTTCAGACCTGGGACCAGCAACGACATGAAGTCCGTGTCAAGCTTGATGCCTGTCACTGAGAATGGTTCAGGTGGCAGACTCATGTGCCCGAGCAATGGAGTCGAGCACTGCAAAGGTTGTCGAAACAAAAACCAAGCCCCTTGCTGATCTGGTGATTTGTCAGACTAACAAAACTTGCCAAAAGCAAAAGCGCAGTGGCCGCTGCCAGCCTAATTGGTTGTCTGGAATGAACCAGGGCAAAAGGTCATAGCCTCAGCTGTCTAGTTGGCCAGGAGAAGTTTTGCAGGAAGCACCCACCAAAGTTTGTCTTGTGAAGATGCTGCATTGAAAGCTCACTAGGTTTATAGGGTCTCCTGACAGACAGCATCATGGAAAGCCATTGACTTGCAAATCTGTTGTTTGAGGAGCTGTGCGCCCCTCGGAACATCTCCAAGCAAATACAAAGCCAGACAAGACCATCCAAGTGGCTGAGCA